ATGAGTCATCACCTTCTGCTTGTCAATGTAATCCGATTAATCATTTACAAGCTAACATTCATGATTAGATCACAAATATTTTGTTTTATGGAAAGCCTGTCGGCCCACCCTCTTAGGCAAGGTATTATATTTTAAAAGCCAACTCATTTTGATTTTAGTGTTAACAGCTAGCCTTTATTGCTTACATGTAAATATCACATTCATTTCATATTAGTCATGTCATTTTTTTCATACAATGTAAGTAAATATTCATGTACTTTATAAAATCATAACTATCAAATTACTCAGTGAAATTTAACAATATTGCTATTAAAATGCTCATAAAATTCATATCATTTACTAAAAACTACACGATGAAAGTACACTAAATCAAGGAAAAAATACATTTTTATAAATTTTGGGAAGATTAAATTTATCAAACTCAAAATTGTTAAAACTAGAGTGAGATTTATGTTACTTAACAAGAGTAAAAGAAATCTTTGAATAAAACTAACGAATGAAACTCTGAACCTCTCTCTCCCTCTTTTATCTCTACTCCTTTTCCTCCTCCCCTCTTCCTTTCCTTCCTTAACAAGTCTAATGGCTAGATAGGAGGGTGGTTGAGTGGAGCAGAAATTTATATTAAAAAAAGTTTTTTAGTGGCTAGCGCCATGACGCTCCAACTTGGCGCCACAACGTTGCATGCTCATTCCAGAGTTACTATAAAATAAAGAGCATCAGTGCCACCGCGTCGAATTTAAGCATCCCAGCCCTACTCCCTCCAAAGCTATTGTGCTTGAAATCACAATTCACAACGCCTAATTAATAATTTTAGATTTTTATTTTAAAATTATTTTCAAAATTTTCATGTTGTAATTAGTTGTTACAATACATAGGTCTAAATGTGAACTTTTTTTAACTACAACAAGTTACATATATAATATTGGAGCTGGAATTATCACGGTTGTTAGCACTAGACTAGTCCCTCAATAAATCCTCATTAAAGAGTTTAGGTTGTATTCATTCCCGTTACCAAACTCAAGGAGTGCGATACTGTATTTATTGCCTCTACTTCCCCATATTAGGATTGGATAAATTGTGCACTAACTATTTGAATTTGATACTCATCTCTCAACCTCCCTCTCCACCATTGAACCATAATTCTCTATCACATGCCACCAATATAGTAAGCCCTTATCCTACCGTCGAAAGTTTATAAGATAGATATTTGAATGATGCATTGATGGCACAATGATCACACAATCTAATGAGTTATCATGAATCTTCAAGGCAACGGACAAAAGCCAACATCAATCTTTTATCTAGTAAATGCATCCCATATATAACTCTTCATTTTGGTGCACGTATTAGCTCGATGGTTAACTAATTTTATAAGTCATTCATAATTTCACAATCTTAAATAGTTCATACTTACATATTCATGGCTTAATCTTTGAGATAAGCATATGGTTATATACATGATTAACCATGTAGCACAACCTCAAAGAAACTATGACCTCATTCACAATAACCATCAAAATGCAAGAGAGGAAATAACCAAAGTCGTTTAGAGGATAAGTCACTATCACCTTGTATTATCTAACTCGAGTTAGATGCCATGACATTATGACACATTTCAAAGGAGCCTATTTGCAATAATATAATGGGACTCTAAGTTCACTGCATATGAGAAGAGAATGTCATGAGATGACACCCAAAGCAAGGGATGGAAGTGTCTCATTCAATGAGGCGCTCTCCATGCCATTAAGAAGGTTGTGGAGACTCTTATAAGTAATTGTTATAGAGCCATTATTGTTCTCTAAAATATTATAAGGATTAGAAAAATGAAAGGACTAGTATATTGACATTTGACTACACAAAAATATCCACCAATTAATAGAGATAAAGTTCACTACAACTCATGTGCTACAAATAATTCCTAGCTTGGACACATCAATCAACTCAATACCTAAAATCAAAGAATAAGTCAACTCTTACAATAAGCGAGCCAAAGGATCAAGGTAATAAAGGGGATGGTGACCTATCACAAGGCATATATAGTCATGTTAGGGCTAAAAGAAGCTCCATGTAAGATGCTAAACCAATCAATACACGAAAGAGTGTAGTTGGTTTATATTATACATGAAGCATTATTTCTTTTGATAATGCTTAAAAGCTTTCATCATACATGATGTCGATGGAAAAAAATGTCGAAACAACTAGTCAGGAGGGGACGTACAAATATGATAACCTCTACGGCTAAAATGTTTAGAAAAAAAAAAAAAGAAGCCAATGCTACTAATATTTGTATATACTTTGTTTATATATACATGTATTCAATGGTTTACTAATTATTAGGATTATGTTACGATCTTAAAGGATTGCAATGATAAACAACAACTTTTTGAGCTCATCAACAACTCCAAAAAATGTGAAATCCAAAAAGGAGAAGCGAAGAATCACAATAAGCAGACTTTTTTCAGTTCATTATTCGTGAAGGAGAACATTTCTATGCAATATATGATCCTCAAATCACCTATTAGCTCTTATTGCATACATATCTAATGACTCCTAATCCTCATTAATATAAACCTAATATACTCATTATATTATTGTTCATATTAGATTCTTACTAAAAATGGATAAGTATTAGATTTGATTACCTCTAGGATATTTCAAAGTCTTTTAAATCAAAACTAAATAACTAATACATATCAATTTTAGGCTGTCATTACTTTCTCATTTCCATAATTAACTTAGCAATCATGATTAAAAAAATAGCAAATTAAATAAATTTAGCTCACAACAAAAGCAAGAGGATGTCTACATTAAAATATTACTTTTTTTAGACCCTTCTACTTCAACTCCCAAACAAAAATTAAGAACTTATATCTTTTTTTTTTGTAAACCTTCAATCAAAGAATAAATATACACAAATTAGTAATATCTAAATTTTATGTTTGAAAATTGCAATTTGATTAATCATTTGGCTCAAGCTCTTAACTGGAAAACATTTTAATAAATATCCTAATTACTAAAAAAAATTAGTACTCTAAATATCATTTAATTAGTAAAATAAATTTTAGCAAAATTTTTCAAACTAATTTGATATCACATCTTTTAATTTTTGCTTAATATGTTGTAATTTAGTTTAATATTTTGTTAAATGTAAAATTATTTTAAATATATAAAAGTTAGTCTCTATATTTATTTCTATTAAATTCATGATTTTTTTTGTGTGCAAAAATGTCATACTTCTTTTATTTAATTACAAAATATTTTAAACTTCATGAAAATTAACGTTCCAACCACAAAGCTGAACTCTCACCATCGATGCCATATGAAAGAACTCTCTGCTTTCAGTTCCAGATCCTCCGCACTCTTGAGTCTTGAATGATAAGGCTCTCATGGGCTCGCCGGAAATTCCTTTCTCTCTCCCAAGTCTTCGTCCCGTTCTCTCATTTCCACGAAGCCATTGCCGGAGCAGCGGCCGAAGTTTCCCCCTGTCCGGCGAAGAAATCGTACCTAGATCTCACGCTCGATCTATCAGACGCCATAAAATTCTCTTCGAGATTATCAGAAAGTCAGAAGATACACGCGCGCCTCATCTTCACCGGTTTCAGTTCCTCTCTCTTCCTCCAGAACACTCTCCTCCACTCCTACTTCAGTTTCGGCGCAGTAGGCGATGCACGTCGTCTCTTTGACACTATTTCCTCTCCAAATACAATTACTTGCAACATTATGGTAACTGGCCTGTCCAAATCAGGCAATTTGGAAGATGCCCGTCAGGTTTTTGACGAAATGCCTGTGAGAGACGCCGCTTCCTGGAATTCTTTAATGACTGGTTATTACAGTCAAGGGAAGTTCGAGGAAAGTATAGAGATTTTTGCTTCAATGATTTGCAACGCGCTTGAAAAGCTTGATATTTTCTCTTTGACCGTTTCCATGAAAGCTGTTGGTGCTCTTCAGTGCTACGAATTGAGCTTACGACTTCATGTTCTTGCCAAAAAATTGGGTTTTGAAAATGCCTCTCAAGTTAAGAGGTCTCTTATTGACATGAATATTAAGTGTGGAGCTGCTGATATTGCTTCCAAGATCTTTAAACAGATTCAAAGCCCAGATCTTTTCTGCTGGAATAGTATGATTCTATGCTATATGGAATTGTATGGAGTAGAACATGCACTTAAGGTGTTCAACAGTATGCCTGAAAGAGATATCATTTCATGGAATACTGTGATTTCAATTCTGTCACAGCAGGGGCACTATTGGGAAACAATTTCCATGATTATAAACATGCAAGTTGAAGGCTACAGGCTTAGTTCAACAACATACACATGTGGCTTAACTGCATGTGCAAATTTTCCTCATTTAGATTGGGGAAAGCATCTCCATGCTGTAATTTTGAAGTCAGAAGCTATTATTGATGTATTTGTTGGTAGCGCTCTCGTAGACATGTATGCAAAATGTGGTCACTTGGATACTGCAAGGAGAACTTTTGACTCCCTATCTACCCATAATATTGTTTCATGGACTTCTCTTATTGGTGGATATGCTCAATTTGGCAAGGTTGAAGAAGCTGGAGAGTTGTTCAACAAAATGAGAAGAGAACAAATTTCGTTTGATAAGTTCACTCTATCGACGATTATAAGTGCTTGTTACAATGGAACAGATTCAGATGTGCATTTTGGTTGTCAGTTACATTGCCTTTGTTTCAAAACTGGATATAGTCCATCAACCCCAGTTTCGAATGCTCTATTAACAATGTATGCTAAATGTGAAAGAATTGAAAGTTCTGAATCCATATTCAAGTCAATGGCTTCAAGAGATGTAGTATCATGGACTAGCATGATCACTGCATATGCTCAATTTGGTAATGTTGGTAAAGCTCGAGAATTTTTCGATTCTATGTCGAAAAGGAATGTCATAACTTGGAATGCCATATTTGGTGCTTATATGTTGAATGAGCAGGAGGAAGAAGCTCTCAAACTGTTTATTGTGATGCTAAGAGAAGATGATGTGAGGCCAGACTGGGTTACATTTGTTAGACTTTTGAGTGCTGCTGCTGACATGGGAGCTCTAAAGATTGGTACTCAAGTTATAGCTCATACCATGAAATTAGGATTCAATGACTCCAACACTTCAGTAGCTAATGGGATTATCACAATGTACTCGAAGAGTGGAAAGATTGTCGAGGCTCGGCAAGTCTTCGATTCTATAACTAACAAGGATCTGATTTCCTGGAATGCTTTGATTACCGCCTATGCTCAGCATGGTCTAGGTAGGGAGGCAGTGAAGGCATTTGAGAAAATGTTGCTTGAGAGCATTCAACCTGATTATATAAGCTATGTTGCAGTCCTTTCAGGTTGCAGTCATTCAGGACTAGTATCACAAGGGAAATCTTACTTCGAGCGAATGACCGGAATCCATGGCATTGTCCCCGGAACAGAGCATTTTGCTTGCATGGTTGATCTTCTCGGTCGAGCTGGGTTCCTGCAACAGGCAAAGGAGGTGATAGTAAATATGCCCATCGAACCTACCGCCGAGGTTTGGGGAGCTATGCTTGGAGCTTGCAAGCTACATAACAATACTGAACTTGCAGATTTTGCAGCCAAGCATATATTTCAGTTAGATTCAAAGGATTCTGGCAGCTATATTCTGCTGGCAAAGCTGTATGCCGATGTGGGTAACTTCAAAAATTCAGCTGGAGTGAGGAGACTTATGAAGGAAAAAGGAATAAGAAAGAAGCCTGGATGTAGCTGGATAGAAGTTGATAATAGGATTCATGCTTTCATTGCAGAAGATTTGAATCATCCACAGATTAATGATATTTTGATAGTACTTGGAAATCTGTTTGAGAGGATCAAAGCTTTTGGGTATGTGAATCAAGACAGCTGTTCGAGATCAACCAGACATCATAGTGAGAAACTAGCTATGGCATTTGGGCTAATGAGCTTGCCTCCATGGATGCCAGTACATATCATGAAGAACCTCCGCATTTGTAGTGACTGTCATTCTGTGATAAAGTTGGTATCATTGATCTGTAAAAGGGAAATTGTGGTCAGGGATGCAATCAGGTTTCACCACTTCAAGGACGGGTCATGCTCTTGTTGTGAATACTGGTAATAACTAGGGGTGTCAATATTTGACCCGACCTGGACCCGCACTGGAAAATTCCGTGTTCGGGTCAACCCATTTGACATATGGGTCGGGTTCGGGTTCGGTAAATTGAACCCATTTCAAAAGTCAGGTCAGATTCGGGTTGACCCAAAAACCCAAAAATCTGAAAATGACTCGGGTTGACCCGTTTAACCTGGCCTACCGTTGGTCCGCTGTACGCGATATGCCTGTACCACGGGTACGCAACTCTGCTAGATCTCCTTCTCCTCCATGCGTTCGATCTCCCCACTCGCCCTCCTCTCATCCCGAGGCCGCCGACCGCCGCCTCTTCCACTAGCACATATCCTAATTCTATTCGTGGATCCGTCGTCGCCTCCTACCACGACATCTTCCAGACTTCCATCAAGAATGCGTCAAATGACCTAGCCGCACGGCCTGAACTCACATGCCACAACAACCCCAGGCCTAGCCTCCGGGGGTCAAGCCACGCCGTGCGGCCCACGCTCAACCCCGGCTTCACTGCGCTCTTCCAGGCTCTACCCGCACGCACAAGATTGCAAACTTTTGTGTTCGTGTTTCGGGTCGGGTCAACCCGGAACCCATGCGGGTCGGTCCGGGTTGAATTTTCTGAAACGGGTCGGGTTAGGGTCAGCCCGTTTATGCTCGGATCAATTCATGTTTGACCTGAATCCGACCCGCGGACCCATTTTGACACCCCTAGTAATAACAAATAGGTAGCTTTGTTTTTAGGTATTTACAACATCATTCCTGCATCTCATGGAGGTGTTTTAGAAATTTTTAGATTCTTTATGAATGAATTTTTTTTTTTTCCGTGATTAAGGAAATTAGGATACATCAAGTTGGCCGTTAACTCTTCAACAAAGGGCAAATAAATTCTTATTTGAAAGTGCTATCATTTGAATTCAGTTAAGTACTTGGCATATTAAGTTTGATACTTCGTGTAGATGGTTTTGTTTGTTCCGGTGTTTGACAGTGCGGTCCATAAGCTCATGGATAAAAAGAAATATCATAGACAAGTCTTTGATTCTACCTAGCATTCGACTCCCTTATTACTATAAGGTACTGTCATTGTTTGAACCCCGTCAGTTGATTATTATTATCATTTGATCATCATTATTGTACTGACGTTTGATTGTCATGACTATTAATTATCTAACCACCATCATTATCTAACTATCTTTACTTGACTACATTCATCTCATTTTCTTCCAACTACTATTACCCGTTTATCATCATCTGACCATAATTACTCAACCTCCATCATATCTTTGTTGCATAATTTGACTTTGTATAATCATTTCCACCTTTCATCACTTTTCCAATAATTTCTACAACAAGTAGTAGATAATTGTTCTCAACTTCAATTATATATTGAATCATTTCAGTTATATTAAGCCTTATAATTGTCCCCCTCTTATCACGTAAAAATTATATTGTCTCTTATAATAATCTTTTTGTATTTAAATGTATACTAAATCTTCATAAAATATCGAGAAATTGACCTCTTACTTTGCAACTGCAAATATTCTAGTATACAACACTTCTCCATCATAATATTTTATTTTTAATTTATGTTAAAAAATAGTTGATGCGCAAGAAAAACTCATCTTTATGTGTTTCAAAAACTAGAAATTTAGATTAATCCATTTTCCACAAAATAAACATTTCAACTTAAGGTTTGTTTGGGACGATTTTCTTACTGCTTCATAAAACAACTTTCTTTTGTACTAAAAAATTGCTTTATGAAGCAGTAAAAAAATCGTCTCAAACAAAGTCTTAATTTCAATCACTTTTACAGTAAAATAATATGGCTCTTATAGAGGAACAATTATTATGAAACGCTCCGCGCCTTTGAGATGCAAACGGTGATCGGACGTAGCCCTACATACAGTCACCACTGAGTTACGCGGTATTTGCTCGGTATTGCTAGGTATTGCTTGGCAATAACGAAAATACCGCTCTGTGAAGACCAATACCGAGCAATATCGAGTAATACCGAGTTTTTCTAGAATAAACTCGGTATTGCTCGGTGTTGCTCGGTATTACTTGGTATTGCCGAGCAAAATCGGTATTGCTTGATTTTTGTCTTCACATAATGGCATTTCTAGTTATTGTCAAGCAAAATCGACAAATACATGATTTTGTGCCTGCTACGTGACGCGATTTAGTGCCGGCCGAACGTAACTCTACGTCCCGGACCAAATAAAAGTTCCTTATAGAGACAATTTCACAACCTAAAGATGCATACAATCCAAGCTAAAGTTGACATAACTATGCTCATCATAGAAAATCATTACCATTTAGACCATTTCATAATAATTGCATAAGCAGAATTACTATATTTAATCCATTCAACTCCATTAAAGACCCACTTGGTTTCAACAATGGAAGCACTCACCTCATTGGAAGCTGTTTAAAAGCTACCACTCTTAGCAGATTTGACTCACGGAAATAATTTTTCATCTTAGAAATTTTAAAAAAGCAACAAAAAAGCAACCAAGCAGACATATTGATAATGACCTAAAAAACAAAATAACGAGAAAACTACTGTAAACAAAGCCCTAATTTAAGGCTTCATTCGGGACAACTTCGAATAACTGTTTTTTCTTGACTTTCAAGAAATTTTTGTATAACAAAACAGCTTGACAAATCAGTAAGAAAGCCATCCAAAAAAAGCTTAGGCTTCATTTGGGACGGTTTTCTTACTACTTAACGCAGCTTTTTAATATATAAATTTTAATTTTTGTACTAAAAAAATGCTTTAAACAGTAAGAAAGCCATCCTAAACAAAACCTCAATCTTCAATCCAGACTCAAAATCAAAATTCAGTCGGCTAAAAAAGGTTCAAAATGAATATCTATACAAAAATAAATGGTGTAATAATATAATATAAACATATTATACAAAATCTTATTTATACTGAACGGCCACAAAAAACACAGCTTGATAATCATTAGCCTGATTGTAAGGTTTTAGTTTCCAAAAACAAATTGGAAACCCAAGTTCAATACCTGAAACTCCACACAGCTTTGCCTGCAACAGGCACTGACGATTTATTGGTTCTGCACACCTGACTTCACGATCTAATCCATATTTCTCTGTATTTCATTTGAAGTTCTTTTAATTTAAAAGATCAACTGGAACAAACGCAGCATCAGAAATGCTACTAGTTTATTTCACACTTGTTTATAGCCTTAACAACAGCAATCTCCAGCTTCATCAGCAAATTTATAATGAAAATTTACACAAAATTTAACTTACATTGTTACAGAAATTGACAATGGCTTACACTTCCAGATGTCTTGAATGAAGCCTCTCAGAGCTCTTTTGTTTCTTCTCACCTCCCTCAAACCAGACACGAAGGTAGTTCATGAGCAAGAGAGAATATGCTTCTAGGCAAACACTATACTTCAGCTTCTACGTGGTTTCTTCTCCTCACTCTCTTATGCTCATTCTCAGACTGTTCCGTATGGTTCTCCTGCCAAGCCCAAGTCCCATATTTCCCAGATTACCCTTTCGCATCATTGCGACAAACTCGCCATAGTCGATCCGACCATCCTACAATAGCAGAATAAACACAAATATGGCCATTGATAACATTGAAAATATAAGATTACGTTTGGGATAGCTTTTTTACTGCTTCGTAAAGAAGCTTTTTAGTACAAAATTAAATTTTTTTAACTGAAAAATTGCTTTAAGAAGCAGTAAGAAAGCTATCCCAAATGAGGTCTAAATGAAACTATAAAGGTATCCAGAGGTCACTGGTCAAGAGCTTCTGTAGTCGTACTAGACGTATGGAACACAAGTAATGGAGCCTGAAGATCTTGGCATGAGTGTGGTTGAATGAATTTAAAGAAAAAGATGATTAAAATAAATCTAATTCTAAATAAAACAAACTTGACACCAAATGATATTCAGAAGGATAATAAATCTTAATTTCAATTAAAATAAATCTAGAAATCCTAATTTAAATGAAAAAAATAAATAATCATTATACCAATTTCTTGTGTTGCATGACTATCCTTCTTGCTAAATCTCTATATACGGCAAAATTACAGCATTATAGGCATATAAAATGGAAGCAAGAATTCTACTTACGTTATCTTGATCAACTTCCTTAATAATATCCTCAATGAACACATCAGCGATGTGGTGCTCTTTACAAGCTTGTTGAAGCTCATCAACAGTAATGTACCCACTCCCATCCTTGTCAAAGTACGAAAATGCTACCACCAAGTGTTCTTCACGCTCCAGCTTATTGAGATGAACAGTGGCAGCAATAAACTCCCCATAATCGATTGTGCCACTGTTGTCAACATCAGCCTGAAGCACATTCTAAAAAGTTAAAATAGCCCAAAAAGGTCAATTTTCTTTAAAGTCTAAAAATATTGAATACAAGCAATAACAGGAATTGTTCCACTCCGGTGTAATTATGGAAGCCTGTAGAGATTCTGAATTGCAAGCCTAAGAGTTTTTTATCTTTAACGGGGACTGTAGGTGTTCCCAAATAACAAAATCTAATAACAGACAACATTTTCGAGATGAGTTAATGGTACTTAAGGCTTCGTTTGGGACTGTTTTCTTGTTGTTTTTTAAAGCAACTTTCTAGTACAAAAATTTTAATTATTGAACTAAAAAGCTGTTTTAAGAAGCAACAAAAAAACTGTTCCAAACGAAGCCAAAATTTAATAGGAAATTCTCAAAAAGAGAGAGAGGTGGATGCTCCTGAAGAGAATCCCAGCACCATAAATTTTTGTCCACATGAAGTTAAATTTCAATAAATGAATTCCTCATTGCAAAGACCGCAAAACCATGATTAATTTAGGCTTCATTTGGGACGGCTTTTTTATTGCTTCTTAAAATAACTTTTTAGTTTAAAAATTAAAATTTTTATACAAGATAGCTGCTTTAAGAAGCAATAAAAAAGCCGTCCAAAAAAAAGCCTTAATAACTCCATCTCTATTAGTAAATAACCTATATGATTTACATTACAAACTGAGGACAAACAAACTATCAACTCACCGCATCCATAAGATCACGGATCTCCGTATCTTTTAATGTCGAGCCATATCTTCTGAGGCCAGCTTTCAGTTCATCAAATGAAATTGCCCCACTACAATCCGTGTCCATCGCTATGAACATTTCTCGTAGTCCAGCAATTTCCTCTTCTGAGAGGCTTTCGGCTATTACCTGGAACATAAAAGAACAATTAATATTGACTTTGAATTGCATAATGCGTGTAGTACTAACAATCTAGAGAAGTATCCTCAAACCTAAGGACGTCTCAAAAAGTCATACAAACATAATTCGTTTTTATCTAATAAAACATTTGCGAACAGAGTCAATGCAAAAGAAACTCAAGAATATGCAATTTTTTACTCAATTGATGGAACAAAAATGCAGCCATGTTTTATGAGGATCCACAAAATTCTCTTCATCTGAAATGTTCAGCCTAAATTCTGCTGATTCTAAGAGTCTGAAAAGTCATAAGCATCTAAAGATAGAAAGTATACATACTCGCAAAGCCATCTTCTTCAATTTATTCATTGCTGAGAACTGTTTGAGACGTGACAGGACTGCAGGATCCAGAGCTTGATCAGGAGCAACACCGTTCTCACAAATCCAAGGATGACCTGAGCGAGAAAGTTGCAAATAATTTCATTAAGATCTACAACCATTCTATTTGACCAAACAAGCTCAGGAAATCAAATAAGTCATGCACTTGAACTAGAATAAAGAACTTTCATTTTATATAACTGAATTGACTGGTGAAGATTTTTGTGCAAGTAGAGAAGGAAGAGATTAAAAATTAAATAGGTCTTGGGAAAGGAACAGCCAATTAATCTTTAGGATAGTCTACTCCCTAGACAAAGTATAAGAATAAAATAAGATATTCATAAAAAATATGTATTCTTTATTCTATTTATTAATTTTCTCACAGTTACCACTCATGATGAACAAGTAGCATTCAATTTGATGCTTGAAACCCCTAAAACATATCTCATGAGTTACCGTTGAAATTTCGCATGGATTATTTGCAATATAAAAAAAAAGTGGAAACAAATTTTGAATTTCAAGTGATTTGCTCATAGCTTTCAAAGAAAAAGTTAGAGAAAAAAGATAAAATATCAAGAAGTTAAGCAAAAAGGCATGAAAAAACATTAGCAGCTCATGTAGCACAAAAGATATGTATAAAAATTCAAACAACTAATACCAATTTGTTGGGATTGGGGTAGTGATGATTTCGATAAAGAGAGATTCTGGATGAATCATTATATTAATAATATATTAACATGACCCTCCGAGTTAGGCAAGATCAGAAAAATGCCTTACATGTCTCTTTCTCTCAAGACAGAGTTCTGGAATTAATCCATCTTTTACCAGGTGCATAGTAAAACTAGCAGTTCATTAGAACAACACCATGATTTCAAATGCCCTAACATTCTTTTTACAAGAAAACAGACCTCACATTCTTTTTACAAGAAACCACTACAATATCATATGGTGGAAAAGGAAGGCCAAAAGTTTCTTTTCACTGTACCATTTAATAAAATTATCACCCAGACATGCACAAATTTCAGAAAATTTTCAGTATAGCTATTAAGCGAACCAATCAAAGCTATTGATTTGTTGGAGAAAGGATACAAAAGCATCAACATCAATACGTTACTCAGAAAACAAAAAATAATAATCCACTGAGAGAACCATCTAAAGTTGGTTAGAGATGTTTTATCATTAGGAGTTTATAAGAAGAAAGAGAAAACAATGATATTTGATTGTGCCAGCATAAATAATGTAAGTTTCTGGCAATCAATCAAAAATAATGAACCACTTAAAAAATAAAATGAAAATGATCGAAATAGATACATATTTCTCAAAGGTGGAAAAAGAAAACTCACATAATACTTGATGTGCAGTTAGGCGATCTTGAGGACGAGAACAAAGCATTTTTCTAATAAGATCCTTAGCACTGTCAGATATCAAGGGCCAAGGTTCTGAATCAAAATCAATATGACCCTTCAGAACTGCATCAAATATCCCTTGTTGTGTTTCTGCAGAAAAAATAGAAAAGGAAATCCTCAATTTAAGGAGAAGAATGATTCCACAGGAAAGATATGGGGACGCTTCAAAATCATACCAGCCCAAAAAGGTGGTACACCGCTCAACAAAATATATAGTATGACACCAGCAGTCCATACATCAGCTTCTGGACCATAGTGTTTGCACAACACCTCAGGAGCTACATAATATGGGCTCCCAACCACATCTGTAAATATTTGGCCTGCAGTAATAGATACAAATCATGATTCTTCCAGTTAAAAAAAAAGCTACCGATTTGCAAGGCAGAAGCACACTGATTTGTCATAAAACAAATAATGCAAGATTCTTAAGGCTTTGTGCATTATTTTTGAATATTTACTACCACTGCTCATAAAACATTGTACTTGGTGAAAACCATACGCCATCAAGATGCAAGGATTGTGTTGGGATTGTAGGAGATTAAATTTAACCTTTTGATAATGTTATCAAGTTTGACAGATTGGTGAGATCTTCTCTTCTTGAATGGTTTATTCGATTTTTCAAATTTATGTAAACTCTCACATATAAATATTATTATGTGTCGAATCTGATTGTGGTGATCAATAGGGTTGTTCTGTTGTCTTGGACCTCAAATCTTGTCGTGGACACTAGAGGGTGTGGGGGTTTACCCCTGCTTGGGTTTGAGTGCAAAGCGGGTGCAAAAAAGAATTTTTTTCCCTACAACACCCTGGCGCTACGTTCCCGAGCGTTCCAGCGCTAAACGATAGAGAGAAGAGCACCGCAGCAGGCGAGATATGGCGCCGCAACGCAACGGGTCAAAATAGAGACCGGGCACCACATCGCTGAGTGTTTGGGCACTGCAATTCCCATTGCAGCATTGTCAAATAGAGATTGTGAACTGCAGCACCCCAAACTGGCGCCGCAACATTGCGAGACAGACTGAACTATCATTTTTCTAGTTTTTCTCAAGGGTTGCATCCCTTGGAGATTATTACTGACTTTCTCTTGTATTTTCTGAGTATGTAGACATTGAGAACGGTGCATGTGAGAAGAAAGTGAAGGAGAGAGTGAGAGAAACGAGATATCTATATTTATTTCTCCCAATTTTCATAGTAGATTTCTTGGTGTGGTGTGGCTCCGTTGTTTTTTTTTCCCTATTTTGGGTTTTCTACGTTATATCCCGGTGTCCTTTACTTTTCCACTGCTTATACTTTCTTGCTTGTTTCGTCATTGTGGTGTTTACTCCTCATCTCTCCCCCAACAAATATGCACCTAAACAAGGTTCTTTGGCATCCACAGAAAAATGAAAGAAAATATATTCAATGGAGAGGGCGTGTTTGGGTGAAGCAGGAAACAAAAGGAGGGTCAGATGAGTATTGCTACAGGGGAAGAAAATCAAGTGCTACTTCTATAGAGTACTTCAAGCACAAAAAAGGAAAAAGGAGAAAAAAGAAATTCTCAAGCAGCTCTTGTTGGCTGAAGACAGAAAAATAAGAGGGAAATTTGTTTCCTCTACAGCGACAATAAGTGGTTGCATATTTTCTTATTGATTTTTTGGGGAGAAAATTGTATTTCTTCCAGTCTTCATAAAACTGGCAACTTTTGCTCATTTCTCAATATATGAAGAAATACCTTTATGTATCTCTTTGCAGCTTAGTAGAAATTATTGATCTTCATATGGTTGTGAATGTGTTACGCTGGTCCAGCTTGGACCGGCTCATCCTGGACCGGCCCAGCCGGTCCAGTTTTACCGAAGACGGACACCACGCCAAAATCTTAATGCATTTTTTGGGTGCTTGATCAATTTTATAATTTCTACAGTCGATTAGATTCGCTCTTAAAGTTGATGCTCCCACAATTTAAGCTAGATGCACTCTCTTCTCTAACAATTGATATCCGAGCTAAGGTTATACATAAGGAGTACAAATGGCAACAAAGTTCAATATCAAAAAGCTAGATGGCTCAAAAAGTATTAGGCTTTCGGGGGCCAAGAAGCCTAGAGCTCTTATCCAAAAAGGTTAGGTGACCGTGATCATGCGGCGTTCAAAAAATGCTTGTGACAATAAGTGAAAAAGACAAGACTGAAATACTCATGAAAAATGAAGATTTGAAATCAGAAAAGGCAAGGGTGTTGAATCCAATGAGATAAACATAGCTGAAATAAAGCAAGGACTTCGTATGAAGGATAGTTCACTATCCAAAGTACGAATATGATGTTCGATGGATTAGGAAGAGTTATAGGGCTACATAATATATACTTGGTAATTAACTTGTTGAGTATGCAAATAAGATTCACATATTACAAGCCATACCAAGTGTAGTAATAAATGAATCGAAAAGACATCAAAGTACATATTAAATATTAGGATGAGGAAAATACCAACGGTTATGAAGACCTAATAGCCAACTACGGAGACCCATAAATCTTCGCACCAAGTTAATATAAGAGAATCCAATGGGAGAAACAATAACCCAATGTTTACAAAAATTATTGCCAGATCGGCATTCCAGCACTCACTTCACTCACTTGTGCAACCAAATCAGAAAAGGCATGAGTGTTGAATCCAAGGAGATAAACATAACTGAAATAAAACAAAGACTTCATATGAAGGATATTTCACTAACCTGATGTCTGGTGGATTAGAAAGAGCCATGGGGTGACATAATATAAGCTTGATGATTTATTTGTTCATTCTACAAATAAGATTTACAGACTCAAGTCATACCAAGTGCAACAATAATAAATGAGTAGAAAATATATCAAAGTACGCTTTTAATATTAGGATAAGGAAAATGCCAATAGTCACGATGACCTAATAGTCAAATACAAAGACCCATAAATCTTCGCACCAAGTGAATATAAAGAGAATCCAGTAGAAGAAGTGGTGACTGAGTGTTTGGCTAAAGAAATTATTCCCGGACCTACATTCCATCACTCACTTCTATCACAATGATGACTTATAGCGAATCTAGATGAAGCCTCACTATATGATATGGTAAGACATTCCAAAAAGTTTCACCATTTAATTTGCCAATCAAATCAGAAAAAGCCTGGGAGTTGAGTCTATGGAGATAAACATAACTGAAATAAAACAAGGACTTAGTATTAAGGATATTTCACTATCCAAAGTAAGCAGATTATGTTCGATGGATTAGAAAGAGTTATAGAGCGACATAATATAAACTTGATGATTAACTTTTTGAGTCAGCAAACAAGATTAACAATCTACAAGTCATATCAAGTGCTGCAATAATAAATGAATAGGAAAGACATCAAAGTGCACTTTAAATATTTGGATAAGGAAAATACCAATAATCATGCTGATTTAATAGCCAACTATGGAGACCAATAACTCCCCCAAGTGAATATAAAAGAATACAATAGGAGAAACAGTGGCCAAGTGTTCAATGAAATTATCATCAGACCGACATTCCATCACTCACTTCACTCACTTGTGTAACCAAATCAGAAAAGGTAGGTGTTGAATCCAAGGAGATAAACATAACTGAAATAAAACAGGGACTTAGGCTTCGTTTGGGACGGCTTTTTTATTACTTTCTAAAACGGAGTTTTAGTACAAAATTAAAAAAATTTGTACTAAAACTCCATTTTAGAAAGCAATAAAAAAGCCGTCCCAAACTAAGCCTTAGTATGAAGGATATTTCAATATCCAAAGAAAAGAAGACGATGTTCGGTGGATTAGGAAGAGCCATGGGGCCACATAATATAAGCTTGACGATTAACTTGTTCATTTTACAAATAAGATTCATAGACTACAAGTCGTACCAAGTGCGACAGTAATAAATTAGTAGAAAGGCTATCAAGGTACACTTTTAATATTAGGATAAGAAAAATACCATTAGTCACGATGATCTAATAGCCAAATACAGAAACCCATAAATCTTCGCACCAAGTGAATATAAGAGAATCTAGTATGAGAAGTGGTGGCCAAGTGTTTGGCTAAAGAAATTTCCATCGGACCAATGTTCCATCACTCACTTGTATACACCACCCACCCCGCGCCCAAAAAAAAAAAAAAATCTTGTCTGAATTTCATATCATTGAAAAGGAGGCATGTTTCAGAGTGGACATTTTGGGAAACAACTATGACGGTGTTTTCATAATTTCTTAAATACACAGTATATATTTCTAGAAAAAAAGGCAACCAAACATATTTTTTTTCTAATATAAATAGCTATTTCTTTTAAAATAAAAAACAAAAGCACATGGAAGAAGATTGTGAACTTCCTGATAAGGTGGAAAGAGAAGTCCATTGACCAAACCGCATCCAACATATGAGTTTTATCCGGACAATTTAATGCACTTTAATCCGTACAGAGAGAACAATTTTGCTTTACAAAGATCCTTACCTGGCTTGAAGAACACGGAAAGCCCGAAATCGATGGCTTTGAGCGACAAGTCATCATCTCTATTAGCAAGCAGGAAATTCTCCGGTTTAAGGTCCCTATGCATGACCCCGAGAGAATGACAAGCCTCTACAACTCCGACAATAATCTTTGTGAGCTCAGCAGCCTTCCTCTCGCTGTAATGCCCCCTATGAATGATACGATCAAATAGCTCCCCTCCCGCACAGAGTTCCATGACGATGTGTACATAGAGAGAATCCTCGTAAGCGCCCTTTATCTGGACCACGTTCCTGTGGCCTGAGAGATGATGCATTATCTGAATCTCCCGGCGGACATCCTCCACATCCTCCCTAGCGATCAGCTTCCTCTTTAAAATCGACTTGCAGGCGTACTGGACCCCGGTGGCGATCTCCGTGCAAAGATACGTCGTCCCGAACTGCCCCTGCCCCAATTTCCGACCAAGAGTATAAAGATCGTGGATATTAGCCGTCTTGTGACCGAGCACCAAGTTCCACTGCGGATCCATGCCCCGAATCATGAAGCCGCCACCCTCCACCTCCGCCAACCCTCCGCCACCAGCAATCACCTGTTCCGCCTTCACCGATTGCTTCGGCGCCTCTTTCGGCGCCTTGTCCGAGGAAAACGAAGAAGATATCCGATCAGATCTCGAACGTTTCGTCGGCTCCGCGTATCCCTGGAAGTACTTGCTTCCGAATGATCCACGGCATGTATTGCCCATGAACCAATCGCATTGATCCTCCGATTTGAAAAATCAGGCTTCGGTAGATCTGAACCCTAATCACAACCAATAAGACAATCCAAGAACTCAGAAGTCAGCCCAGCAGAAACCATACATATCTAGGGTTTTCGAAGTACCCGAAGCCCTAATTAAACCAAAAAAAAGGAGAGAGAAAGTGGCAAAGACCAGGGAATCGAAGACCGAGCTGGAAGATAGCCAATCATGCCGTTTTATAGAGGATTGAAAAAAATTTCGATCTCCAGCTCCGGCAAAGAGAGCGACAAAGAGGCTGCGCGACTGAGCGAGTGCTGACTAACTATTCCAACGTGGGATTTTCTCCATGTCTCGATTCCACGAACTTTCTGTACTTCGCAGGCTCTATGGACACCGTCCATAGACATTTCAACGGCTGCGATTTATTTGGTAAACGTGGCAGCTGTCGGAACTTGGGATTTTGTTAATTATGATTAGTACGGTGATTAGTCATTAAGTAAGGATTAAGATTGCGAAAGGATAATTCGGCCGTTTTCTTGCGGGAAAAGCGGTTGGCGGTTTTAATAACTCTCCTTTATAGAGACGGCAGTTAGTGAGAACACAGCTTTAAACAAGTCTTCCTACGAAATAGTGGGACCCAACATTGCCCAATTGCGTCGGCGCTTTTCGTTTTTTACTGGCGATGACTTGGATAGCCGGGCCCCACGGCCAAGTTGGCACGTTGGTGATTTAGGCTTCGTGAAGAAATTATTCTCTCTAGAGCTCTGATGTAGAATATTATTCGAAGACCAATCATATTGAGCCATGTCAACGGTATCGAGTTTGGAGGCCAGCCGGAATGCGCTACGTTAGCAGTACCGAGCCGCGATACCGAGTGAAGGAGTGTCGTGATGCATTCTGATTGATCTCCGAATAGAGTTCGATATCAGCACAAAATAATTGTTCTCGTTTGTGACAATATTTTTACTACTTTCTAAAATGACATTCAAGTAAAATATATCTAATTCAAAAAAATGTTATTAAAAAAAAATATTTTAGAAAGCATCAAAAAAATAACCCCAAACAAAATGTTAAATTGGATAAGAGAGCCACATTAAATCAATACATTGATAAAAAAAAGGATTATAAACGACTTCAATATAACATATCAATAATAAATTTAAAAATCTATAACCAAATTTATAAGTTTATAATTAATTTTCCTCCCCAAAAGATAAAAAATGAGCTTAGAGTGTAAATATAAAATAAATCATAGGTATTATTCAATATAATGATAATAGAGGTAAATAGATGAGTGTGTTTCTTAAATTTGATTGAAGAATGATAATCATCCCGCCATCTCGACATCCCGCATCGTCCAAGTCAAATTTGTTGGTCCGCTTACACGTCGTCTCGCCGTCAGAGCTTGATGCGTGACTAACGCAACCTCCTCAAGCCACGCGACTGAGGCAAGCACTGTCCGCCTCAAATAGGCGGGATTAGGCTAGTATTAGGCAGGATTATGCTGGTATTAGGTGAGTGTTTTAAAAATAAAAAGTATTTTAGAAATCATAATAGTAAATCGAGCGGCTCATGAGCTCACAAGCCTATCCTCAATTAAGCTCGAACTCGAGCTCATTTAATAAACAAGTTCGAATTTGAGCTCGAGCTCGATTCGTGAGCTCGCTAAGCTCGACTCGCAAACCCATAAACGAGTCGATCTCGAGCTAACTGGAGTGTTGGCTTGGCTCACATATACCCCTACCTATGCTCACCATCCTCTTCCTTATCTCCTCTCTCGAATCATTATAATTCTATTGAGGAAGACCTTTTACTTCTCTTGATCCAAACATTCCTTTTTAACATCTCCTCAATCTTCTCTAAAGTCCTTCTAGAGAAGTAATGGTTTGCAATTATAGTAAAAAAAACCTCTCCTCCTTATAACATGCATAAATCTATCAACTGAAACACTATAAAACTTGGTGAAAGTAAATTAGCTTGATAATCCATATTTATTGAACTCGAAAAATTTGTCCATAAATCTACCATAGACTCTCTTTTTATGGATCATATAGCAATATAACAACACCGTCACTGAGGTTTTGTTTGCGACAATTTTTCGTCACTATTTTTTCGTTGTTGTCAAGAAGTTTTTATGATAAAAAGTTGCTTTAGCAAACTATAAATAAAGCCTGAAACTCAGGTTGAGAGCTATCGATCTTCTTTTAACATTCCAAGGAAAGTATTATGAACAGTCTTCCAATTCTCTATACATCTTACAACTAAGGCTTCATTTTGAGACAACTTTCTTGTTACTTTTTAAAATAATTTTTTAGTATAAATTTTTTTTTTCAAAAAATTTATATAAAAAAACTATAAAAATAGTAAGAAAGTTTTCTCAAATGAAATATAAGAGTAAAAGGTTGGATAGTGTGTTTTAGCATTATTACTAGACTAAGGCTTCGTTTGGGACGGCTTTTTTATTGCTTTCTAAAACGGAGTTTTAGTACAAAAATAAAAAATTTTGTACTAAAACTCCGTTTTAGAAAGCAGTAAAAAAGTCATCCCAAACGAAGCCTAAGACTTCATTTGGGACAGCTTTCTTATTACTTCTTAAAACTGTTTTCTTATATAAAAATTTAAAATTTTTTACTAAAAAATCGCTTTAGAAAATAGTAAAGAAGCCGTCCCAAACGAAACCCAAGGAAACCATAAGAGTGAAAATGGATAGTTACTCAAAGCATGCAAGATAGGATTTTTCTGCTATACAATAATCTAACAAGGTAATAGAGTTACCTGTTATATTTGCTCCTGAACATTATCTTATTCATATTGCACTGAAAAAATATGCTCGAAATTTACAAACGAATCTGCTACTGAATGAGAAGTGCTTCTTCCATATATATCATGAAGTTTCCTCAAAGATGTCATGGAAAAGATGCTTGGCCGTCCAAGTTACCTCTCTAAGGCTCTTGAGAGGATCATGGATCTCATCTGCATAGCTTATCAGAGGGATTCTACATTCTGCATTCAATAATACAGAAAAGATACCGTTCAGCTTTTCAGTCTAAATATAGGCTTCATTTCAGACGGCTTCATTTCTAGTAAAAAATTAAAAATTTTGTACTAAAAAATTGCTTTTAGAAGAAGTCAGAAAGTCGTCCCAAACGAAACCATAGAGAACATAAGAGATTTGAGATATGAGGAGAGTAGCTTGTTCATCACAAGCTTCTGGATTTGACAGAAGAAAGTGTACTTACCCAAAATTTTGCTGAAGTTGAGAAGACTCAAGGAAGCAAGTACCTTGAGCTTAATATCCAGATCAAATTTCAGGCATTCTTTCAGCCTTGGCATGAAAGCTGAAAAAGCAGAGCGCTGTAATGCAGGAACAGAGAGATAAGTAAGTGCATGGCTTAGCCATGCAGTTGTGACAACGCAAGCGCTTACTAGATCTGGCTTTCCCAGCATCCAGCACTTGGAAAGAGTAACCTGGAACGACTTCTTCCCATATTGAAGCAGGATCAAAGCCACGCTCTTCAACCAATCTTCTCTCATCCTTGACTCTTCCTGAATTAGGCAAAATAGTTTTGTATATAAATGAAATTCATTGAAGTTTTGGAAAAAGGTAGTAAGGTACCTCTGATATTGTTTGATCATCTTCATCATTGTAAGTATTACAATTGTATCCAGCTTTCTTCAACAACCAAGTCTCGGTTATAATCTCTCCAGAAAAAGAGAAACGGCCGCCGAGCATGAGAAGGGCTCTTCGGCAGTTCGGTATAAACATCTTATCAAACAGACAGCACTCGAGAGCTTTTACAATGCACTTTACAGCCTCCTCTTTGTAAAGACTATGAATCCGGGATTCTTCCTGATAAATGTTATCATTTTCAGTTTATATATGTAGCTTGTTATGGGAATGATCTATTACCGATATTTTTCAAATTAGAAATTTGTGCCGCATAAATAAATAATTCTGACTTCGCCAAAGTCTACTTGTCTAATATATGCATTTTCTACCTTCCATTGTACAAGTCCAAATCACCCAAGTTAACTTTCAACTACCTTATTACTAATATAACCACTCACTAATTTATTCTCCCTATTTTGTCAAAAGGCCTATCTTAACAGTTTCCTTTATCTTCCAACTCAACTTAACTATTAATGACTTCTACAACCCAATACTAGTATCTACATAATTTAGCTAGCCAAGCTGAAGTTTTGTAGCTGGCGTATACATATAAATGTGTATATAAATGCATATATAAATTCATACATAGGCGTGTGAAATTAATAATTAAAAGTAGCATCTTGATGGAGGTAATCTGTGGAAGAAGGGGATGCAAGAACCAAAGAGAGAACAAACAATAATTCAAAAGCAAAATATCATAATCATCTCCTTCGCATAAACTATGAGCCAATATATAAGCTCCACAAGGGCAGGAATGTCCTTTTGTAGGAAAAGGGAAAAACAGCCTAAAAAGGTACATAGTTCTACTAACAGAAAAAAGTAACTTGGTAGTGGAAGGAAACTAACGCAAATAGAAATTATAAGGTAATAAATGGTATACTAGTCCCCAAGCATATTATAATTAAGATGTTCTGCAGGTGATAATCCTATCTTATTTCCTCTAGTAAAAGTCTCAGACTTTCAATTGTTACCTTTTACCCTTCAATGCATGTTGTTGACCACCAAAAAGCGAATCTTGTTGCAAGGCACTGACCAAGATAATTACTAACATTTAATCAGTACACCGACCACCACTCTTCCTTCACCTCTACACATCATTAAATAAAGGAGACGAATGAGAGATGGTCATGAACACTATCTAGCCACCTATATAACACTTAAGAGCTTGGAGGTAACAATTTTGTAGAAAGTAGATAGATGGCATTCACTATTAGATAACATACTTGTAGATATTAAATAAAGTTTATAGGAATACATAAAACATAAAGAAATGAAGGTTTTAACTTTACAATCAAAGTTGGCAAGGAAACTATCTCAACATCTCAATAATAGATGGATAAGTGCTAGGAAAATAATTTTTAACATAAAGGCTTAAGTTTATGAGCAAGGGCGTAAGTTTCTTGGCATCCAAGGAAAGGGCACCTTTAGAGTAGGTGTAGACTCCATAAGAAGAAGATGAGAAGAGAAATCAGGAATTATTCATTCCATAATTTTAGTATTTATAATGTTTGGGTAGATCAAGTTTATAATATAGAACCGGTCTATCTAACACAAACATAAAATAGAAAAAAGGAAATAAACTAGTGTTTATTATATATGTATAGACTATTTAGTTTGTACTTTATTTGCCCAAAGATATATTGATGTCCTTTGCTTGTTGTAGTGACAATGTGGAATATTTTTTATTCCTTAGAAGACTTTTATGCTTTTAAGTTGGTCGTCTTGTAGTCCATGCTTCATAATTTGATTGTACCATTTGTTGATGCCTAATTTTTATTCCTTCTTTAGTAAACTTTTATACTTGTAGGTTGGTCTGCCATGTTAGTAGTCTATGCTTCACAATTTGATTGTGCCATTTGTTGATGTCGAACACTCCGCTCGCCATAAAAAATAACCTTGTCCTAAAGGTTGATAGAAAGAACTAATGAAGAGAGGGCTAAAAAATTTTCCCATGTGGCATTATTAGGTAGATTTAATTTCCATTGCAATAATACCTGCAGTGAGGCTGACAGAAAATTCGTGAAGCTAAAATGGCATAAGTTACCAAGAGTGGTTGGTTGTTATAATTGAAACTTAGTAAATGTGAAGTGTTTAGTGGAGTCCCTTCACATGTTTCAGGAAGTGAAATATGAAAAATAGGATAAATTTTGCTTTTTGGGAGGAATAGTTAGGGTGTAGGCCACCGGGCTAATAACATCTTGAATTGGGAAAGGTCCAAAATATCATTTAGTTAATTTAGAATGTGTATGACTTACGACAGAATTTTATTTGAATTGTTGAAATAAATGTTGAAAGTGTTTGAGTAGGGGGGGAATGGATATCGGTACAGGATGTGTAAGGTTGGCAAGGTAATCGTTGAGAAGATTAGTAGATGATGTAAGATTTCCATCTAAATCTTGTGATTGAATGGTAAAGATTTGAATGGTGGGTCTAGGAGATATCAAGGCATGTGATTACTTGAAAGATATAGAATCGGCTGTTAATTGAGGTTCACCTGAAAGTGTGATAGTTTGATTTTGATAGCTGAATTATATGGTGAGATTTTGATAGTTATGCAAAACAAGTCCTACGGGTTGAAACTATTGCATACCAAAAACTATATTAACACCATGAATTAAGAGAACAAATAAGTCTAAAAGTGCCTGATAGTCTTGCATATTAATGTTGACTTTGGGACATTAAGCCTTACATAATAATAAGTTACCATTTCCAATAGAAACTATGAAATTTTTAATAGGTTGCTGATGAAGACCTAATTTTTGAATTAAATTACCCCGAATGAAATTATGAGGACTACCACTGTCAATTAAGATATATACATTGTGACTGTTAGTAGACCAGATTAATCGGAAAGAACGAGGATTGAATTGGCAAGCTAAAACATTTAGGCTAATTTCAGGATGCGGATGTTGGTTATCCTCATCATAGGTAAAAGAGGGGAGGAGGTCATCTACCATATCTTGATCGTCTGTGCCTATTAGAAGGCAAAATTTATCTGGACAATGATGTTGAGGATCAAATTTAACATCACAATTGAAACAAAGATCTTTTTCACAGCGAAAATGAATTTCAGTTGGTGAGAGTTTGTGGATTGGAAGTTTTGGTAGTTTAGGGTTATTGAGTTTTGATAGGGCGAATGGAGGATTGGGAAAAAGGTTGTATCAAAGTAGGTGTCTGTATAAGATTTTTTTGGTTTTAAGGAAAAGTTTTGTGCCAAGCGGAAGATGAAACAAAGAAAAAATTCTTAGATTTTGGATTAATGGTGCCTAGCTAATTCAATGGAATCAAAAAGGGTAGCAGGTCGTGCAAGTAAAGCCACGACATAATTGTTGTTCAAGTTTGGAAATAAAGTAATTGATAAGAGTGGATTCAGATAAATTTGAAACTTTAAAAGCAAGTTTTTCAAATGAAGCTTGGTATTCCATAATTGAATTTTTTTTAGTTAATTTGGAAAGATTGCCATGCAGATCATCATAAGGCGAAATACCAAAACGTTGTTGCAAAGATAAAAGAAATTCTAAATGGCCTTTCATGCGTAACCATTGATATCGAGAGGCTATCGGACCTTCAAGATGAAATGAGGCAATTCTAATGCGATGAAAATTAGGAGTATTGTGAAAATCTAAGTATCCTTGTGCCTTAAAAGTTGATGTTTCAACATCAGATCCATTACAATGAGGAAATTCAATTTTCATTGATTTAAGAAAAGAAAAACTGTAAGGGGAGGTGATCGTTGTGTAGAAGGAATTCATCTGGTGGAACCAAGGATGTCGGTGGAAGAAGAAGGATCTTGATTTAGCCGAGGAGGTGTAAGGCCAAGGCTCCAACTGTCAAGTCTTTGTCAATAGAATCCATGAAAGCACGAAGTTCTTGAAGGGACGAGCCAATGGAAGCAAATTGAACACCGAATTGTTGTAAAGATTTTTGGATTTCGAAAAATTTTAATTCTTGATTTGGTTTGTCAAATCTGAGTTCTTCATGTTCGTTCGAAATTTGTGGATGATGGAAGTTTGAAAAGATGAGGATCTTGAATTTGTACCTCCAAGCAAAAAAGAAAAGGGATAGTAGAAGATGTAATTTGAGATAACAAATTTAGCAAGAAAAGCAAATGAAGAACCTGATGCAATCTTGCAAAGGAAGATATTGAAAATTTCAATAGGGTTCGTGAATGTATCAGATGACTGAAACTGCAGTTGTTTGGATCAGGTGGCAGTTGTTGAGTGGAAGGGTGTAGGTGCGGCTGATGGCAAGAATCCGTAGGTCTTGAAGGTCTTGCAAACTGCAGTTCTTGAAGAGAATGATGCGAGTGCTGAAACAGGAATGAGCAGATTTGCAGTTGGAATGGTGATAAGCTGGGTTGAAATCTGCTGAAAGCCAAAGTATGACGGTTTTTCTGCTGAGCTGAAATCTGTTGGTTGGTGGAAGTTTGCTAGGCATGGAGGAAAGAGGGTTGTGAAGGGTATTCTTGTGGGCTGTTGCATGCGACTGCGGGAAAGGATTGTAGGAGGAGAAAGATCTTGTAGTGGTTCGAGATTAATGCTACAAGAGCATTATTTTATTTGATAAGCTTCTTAGCATCCAAGAAGAAAGGGCACCTTTAGAGTAGGTGTAAGACTCCAAAAGAGTAAGAGGAGAAGAGATATTAAAAATTATTCATTCCATAATCTTTTCTTAAAATATGAGCGATATTTATAATGCTTGGATAGACAAGCCAATGAACATAAATAAATAAATGAGATTCTAAGGGTTAGCATACTTCAGGCTCCAAATGTAGTGCATAGTGCATGTAACCAATTGACAAGATTGAGGCTTCGTTTGGGACGGCTTTTTTCTGCTTCTTAAATCAACTTTTTAGTACAAAATTTTAAATTTTGTATTAGAAAGCTGTTTTAAAAAGCAAAAAGAAAGCCATCCCAAACGAAGCTTGATAATTCCACCTGGCTTTAAAATTATGCAATGTAAATACAACCAACCAAATGGGCATGTAGATGAAAAAAGATGTAACTTGTGACAATATAGCCAAATTATTTTTAATAATAAATGTATTATTGGAGATCAGTAAGGCTTCGTTTGGGACGGCTTTTTGCTGCTTCTTAAAGCAGCTTTATAGTACAAAAATTAATTTTTTTGTACTATAAAGTCGCTTTAAGATGCAATAACAAAGCCGTCCCAAACAAAGCCTTAACCCTTTCTGAATTTTCCAAATGTATTTATATAGGCTTGTAAATTTAACACACCAAGTTACTTTCTAAATTTTCTGTTTGTTTAATACAACTTTCAGGTATTCATGGTGGTGAGGGAGGCAAAGAGTTAATGATTGAGTACAATCAATGTGAAGAAACTAGCGGTACAAGAAGAGAATGCAAAAGGTAAGGGAGAAACATAAGGGAGAAACAGACTTAAGAAAGTAAATCTTGGATCTATTACAAGGTAGCCAGTAGAGCCTATAAATAGGCCAGCTGGTACGGTACAAGAGATCAAGAGCCAAACCTAGAATGACACCTCAGATTACCAAATATAAAATAACAACTAATATATACAGAATAATATTTTGTGCTCTAATACTCCCCCGCAAAGTGATGGTTCTTGAGCGACCGTCAGTTTGTGTCGAAGTTTTTGAAACCGAGGGGTGGAAAGAGCCTTAGTGAAGATATCTACCACCTGATCGGTTGTACTAATGGGAAGAATGGAGATGTTGTTTTGTTGTTTGTGGTCACGCACAAACTTTTGATCAATTTCAATGTGTTTTATGCGGGCATGAAAGACCGGATTGTTCGCCAACGCGATCGCGGAAGTGTTATCGCAGTAAATGTTTGTTGGATCCTTTTGAGCAATGCCAAACTCAGCAAGTAGCCGCCGAATCCAGATGACGTCCGCGGTGAGTGCCGCCAACGCCCGATACTCAGACTCGGTGGAGGACCGTGCGATCGTGTGCTGTTTCTTCACTGTCCAGGAGATTATCATGTTCCCGAGAAATGAACAATATCCGGATGTGGATTTCCTGGACACCGGATCTCCAGCCCAGTCGGCATCTGAATAGGATTGTAAAATGAGGTTAGTGTTTGTTACCGGTAATCCAAATGTTGACGTACCTTTGAGATATCTTAGGAGTCGCTTTAGAAGATAGGTATGCTGTGGTTGCAGGTCGTACATGTGCTGCGAGAGAAGATTGACACTATATGAAATATCGGGTCTAGTAATGGTAAGGTACTGCAGCGACCCAGTAAGACGACGGTAGAGTGAGGGATCTTGGAGCTCAATTTCACCGTTGTATGTGTCCGGAACCTTGGAGCTCAGTTTCAGCGTTGTATGTGTCCGGAACCTTGGTACATGTGGGATTGGCGAGCTCATTGCAATCCGTGAGATGAGCTTGCTGCAGTATATGGGTTTTTCTTGGGACAAGAAGTAGCTGTTGGGATGTTTGGTTATCTTGATGCCAAGAAATTCTGAGACTTCACCAAGGTGCTTCATATGAAATTCTTTGTTTAATTTTTCGAGAATGTTGGTGATAGATTGCGAATGGTTCCCTGAGATGAGAATATCATCAACATATACAAGTAAATAAATGCAAACCTGCGCCTTAATGTAGATAAACAGAGAGGGATCGGACTGGCTATGCGTGAAGCCGAGACTCAATAGGGTGTTTGTGAACATGTTGTACCACTGCCTCGGCACTTGTTTTAAGCCATACAATGCTTTTTGAAGGTGACAAACATGATCCGGGTTCACGCTATCTTTGAATCCTTTGGGTTGTGTCATGTAAACAGTCTCCGAGAGGTGCCCATGAAGGAATGCATTTGCCACATCGAGTTGTTGAACTGTCCACCCATGATGTAGAGCCACTGCAAGGAGAATACGTATTGTTGGAAGCTTGGCAACTGGACTAAAAGTTTCCAAATAGTCCAATCCATATTGTTGGTGATTTCCTTGAGCCACAAGACGAGCTTTATAAGTGGCAACCGTGCCATCAACGTGATATTTGGTTTTATAAGTCCAACGACAACCGAGAATGGAAGCGTTTGGTGGCGGTTTTACTAATGTCCAAGTTCCTTGACGTTGAAGCGCAAGGAATTCGTTGGTCATTGCTCGACGCCATTCAGATTTTTTGACAGCTTCAGTATACGTAGTGGGATCGGACTCTTGTGGGATCCGCTTGTGATCATGAAGCAAGTTCAATCTGTTGGTAGGACGAAGTGACCTGTTTTGCTGCGAGTCGTCATGGTATGTATGGGAGCCGGTGGGGCAAGTGGTTCCGCAGATGACTGGGAGATGGTTTCCAGACCACCTTGATTTGCCACGGGCACAGAAGGCACAGGATGAGCCGGAGTGTGTGGTGGTTGCTGAAGCAGAGAGAGATGTCGCGAGTTATGCTGTGACTGCACATAAACGGGAGTAAGAAGTAATGGAACGATAGGATTGTCCTAACGAACAGAGTTAGAATCGGTTTTGTGTTTAGCGAAAGGAAAACTGTGTTCGTGAAATGTGGTGTCTGCATATAGTAATTTTGTTCGACTGAATGTTAAGGCATTTGTATCCTTTATGGACATCGGAGTATCCGATGAACACGTGCGATGTAGCTTTAGGTTGAAGCTTGTGTCGTGATTGCGGCGGTGAGAGCGGGAAGCACTCGCAACCGAACACCTTGAGATGGTCGTATCGGGGTTTGATCTTGTGTAGCATCTCAAATGGAGACACTTTGGTTTTGTGCAGCAAGGGTAATCTATTGATGAGGTATACCGCAGTGGAGACGACATCCGGCCAATACACGTAAGGTACCGCAGCCGTGTCAAGAAGCATTCTGATGGTTTCAATTATGTGACGATGCTTTCTCTCAGCCACCCCATTATGTTCAGGTGTATAGGGGCATGATTGTTGATGTATGATCCCGTTTTGTTTTAGAAATGAGGAAAGCGCATGATTCACATATTCGGTACCGCAGTCTGACTGAAAAATTTTTATTTTCTTGGACGTGTAGTTCTCGACCTGATTATTAAAAATAACAAACGTGTCAAAAACTTCAGACTTATACCGTAGGGGAAATACCCACGTGAAGCGGGAGTAATCATCTACGAAGATGACGTAGTATCGGTAGCATTGATTGGAGACGACCGGAGCCGGTCCCCATACGTCGGAGTGAATGACCGAAAGAAGTGTTTTATTGTTGTGATCCGAATGATCAAACGAGAGCTTATGACATTTAGAGCGGTTACAAGAAATGCATTGTAAATCATATTTGCCTAATGCTAAGCTAGGATTACAAGTAGAGATAGTATTGAAAATGTAGAGGATGCCCCAGGCGTTGATGCCACCGATCTGCGGATGAAGTGGATGTTGCGAACGCTTTATTCGATTGCGGAGGGTTGCCAGTTGGAATTTGGTATAGACCACCTTTACAAGGTCCGCGGCAGATGACCCTGCCCGTCCTCATGTCCTTCAAGATAAAGCCAATAGGATCAAATACAATGGATATATTGTTATCCTTAGTTAATTGCGAAATAGAAAGAAGATTGAACTAAAGAGAGGGCGAGTGAAGAATGTGTGAGAGATGCAGCTTACTGTTCGGGGTCGGGAGAATACCCGCCCCGGTGTGGGATATTTTGACGGAGCTGCCGTCCCCGATAGTAACCGTGTCTGATCCTTGATACGGTGAAGAAATTGACAGGTTGTCCAGTGAATTGGTTAGATGAGTAGACGCTCCCGAATCCAAGAACCAGTTCTCGTCATTGTTGTCAGATCCCGCAAGAAGAGCAGGATGCGTGGTTCTTGAAGTAGGCGTATATTGCGTGTTTGGTCGATGCCAGCACGCCTGAGCCGAATGCCCTTTTTTAAGCAAATCTGGTAGATCACCGTTGCAGTGGCCGAATTCCGGGATGTATTGGAATTGTTGGACGACATTTTGCCTCTGGATCTCTTGCCACGTCCTCGGTAGTTGAAGAGAGCGGTGGTCGGATCTGATCGACCAGTGAACTGGGTTGCGTCGGTAGTCAGGTTCACTTCTTCACTGAGGAGCGGATATAATTGATCTAGAGAGATTGGTGTAAGCATGGTTCGGATCGCCGTTTTGAATGATTTATACGTTGGTGGTAACTCGTTGAAGATGTAGAGGATTATGTCTTCCGTATCGACGATCGCTCCAGCGGCGGCGATTTGATCAACCAACGATTTGATGTCGGTGAGGTATTGGTTCATGTTAGAGTTCTTGAACGTGATATTGTGAAGTTCATTCTTTAGTTGAATGACTTTGGATCGATTCGTGGATTGAAAGCGATTTTGAAGATAGATCCAGATGGCAGAGGTGGTGTTGAGGTGAATGACATAGGGAAGCACGGTGGTAGAAATCGTGGAACATATAGATGCCGAAATGTTCTGATCCGTGAGAAGCCATTTAGAGAATAGAGGGTTTGTAGAAGAAAAACCGTCTTGTGTTGTGATCGTCTGTGGTGGAGGAGGAAGATCGGGATCAAGAAATTGTTTAAAGCCATTGGCACAGACAATCTTGAGAACCTGAGATCTCTAGAGGATGTAGTTGTCCACGGCAAGAGAAATAGTGACGACATTTTTTATGTTCGACACCAAGAACTTGAGGTTGGAAGGGATTACCAGGTCGGAGACATCTTCGGGAAGGAGAGCTCCGTGAACACCGGTATGAGATGATGCGGAATGAGCCATAAAGGAGGACCTAACCGACTCTTGATACCATGAAGAAACTAGCGGTACAAGAAGAGAATGCAAAAGGTAAGGGAGAAACAGACTTAAGAAAGTAAATCTTGGATCTATTACAAGGTAGCAAGTAGAGCCTATAAATAGGCCAGCTGGTACGGTACAAAAAATCAAGAGCCAAACCTAGAATGACACCTCAGATTACCAAATATAAAATAACAACTAATATATACAGAATTATATTTTGTGCTCTAATACAATGAGATCAAATAAAGAAAGCGTACCATATAATCAAGATGTATTAGAAGAACCGCAACAAGGACTCTTTCTTCAGGAAGCGAGCTCTTAAGGCACAAAAGAAGCTCACGCTTGGTGTTGCCAATATCTTCTGTTCTCAATCCACTCACGAAAGATGTGATGTCCATCCTTCTGTTGGCATCCAAAAGTCCAAAAAGGAAGAGTAGAGCACATATTCAGGAAGATAACACTTATGACTTTAAATCTAAATACTTGGAAGGACCAAATAAAAGCTAATATTAATAGAAGAATAAGGTAATTATCTGGCATGAATTCCAGCAGAAAGAGAAGGAAATGAAACTGAGCATTATAAAGCAATGAGATAGATAGCAGAGACACAAGACATCTATTTATTACAGTAAATCAGATAACGATTAGATTAAAAGCATTTTTTGAAAATTAAAAAATATATTGTATTTTGTGAAGGTAGCATCATGACATTAAGTATTAATACAATAAACCATACATCTTCTCCCTCCATCTTTATTATTTGTATAGCAGCCATTTATTTCCTTAATTACCATGTCTAGTCATAGCCTTGTAATCCTATATATATAGGTGAAACCTGTAATAAAGATAGAGAGGAAAATATAATAAAAATCATGTCACTTTTCCTGTCTATATACACTTTCCTCTTTCTCGCAAGATGGTATCAAAGCAAGTATCGGCTTCCCATTAGCCTAAAAGAAGCATTGGCGGTTCACTTCTTGCTCTGTAATCTCTCTCCATAGGAGCGCCAAGCGATCTTTTTCTACAAGGAATATAAATCATGCCATCAACAACATGCAGAGCCCTTTCTAACTCCATCATTCTAATAAACCAGGTATCTCCTTGGTCTCACATACCCTAAACGACGAAAACTACACATCATAGAGTCGTGCTATGGTGATTGCCTTGTCCACCAAGAATAAGCTTAGCCTCATTGATGGTTCGATCTCCAAGTCAGATGGAATGGGTCTAAACCTTCTCAATTCTTGGATTCACAACAACATCATCATCTCTTGGATCTTGAACTTAGTGTGCAAAGAAATTTCAGCAAGCCTTTATATTCCAACATCGCTAGTGAGATTTGGACAAATTTTGAGAAGGTATTCAGCAAACAAACCGGCCTCAGATTTTCCACCTTAAACGTGAGTTGATCAACCACAAGAAAATTCAAACAATTGTAAATTATTATTTCGCTAAACTTAAAATGCTGTGGAAGAAACTCAACAACTAGAGGCCAATTTGTACTTGCAAAAAATGCGATTGCAATGGAGTCAAATAGATGATTGCCTATCATCAGATGTAGCAAGTAATGTTTTTTTTAATGGGACCCAATGATATTTTGCTTATGGATCCCCTACCCTCTATCAATAATGCTTTTTCTTTAATTTCTCAAGAAGAACATCAAAGAAAAGTCGGCCAACCAAAACTCAGAAACAACGCCATAGTCGAAGCAGCCCTTATAGTCAAGACTAACAATAATTGACAGCGGTCAAATCACACATCCAGGAACAACAGATTTCACAAGAAGGATTGGTGTTACTGTTCACATTGCAACAACACCGACCATATGAAGGAAATATGTTGCAAGACTCACGAGTATCCACCAGGGAATCGATTTAAGAACAATGCACAGTCCAAGAAAATCACACCCTTTCTCAATCTAGTTTCTATAGGCAGCAGTAGTACTAACAATGATACTAACTCGGTATCAAAGTTCTTCAATAGCCTCGATCAGCAATAGCTTGATCAATTGATAAGTTTATTCTCCATCACTTATAAGCAAAAGGTAACGAACAATAAACCCACTTGATAGGTATGTACTTCTCTATTATGTTAATTTCAAATTTATTACCTTTTCGACATTGGATCATTGATTCTGAAGTGTCAACACACATATGTTCCAATATCAATCAATTTACATCAATGCGAAATATACCTCATACCACCGAACAAAAATGCAAATTCCTGTCACCTTGTGGAAACATTAGATTAAACTCAAATTTACACTTGCATAATGCATTTTTCATTCTATATTTCAATTTTAATCTTTGCTTTTCTTATAGATAATTGTTTTACAATTACGTTCTTTGATGATCATTTTAATATCCAAGAAGTTCACAACAAGAGCACCATGGGTAGCAAACAACATTAAAATTTTGGAGTGATTGCATTCTTACAGCTACATTCATCATAAATTGAACCACTTCCCCTCTGTTGGCTCAAGAAAAATGGCACAAATGCATGAATCCGGTTTTACAGTATTAGGATTTCATTTCCCTTAAGTCGGATTGTAATTAACCAGATTTCCCCTGAGGATAGTGTTAAGGTTTAATTAGATCCGGGGTCCTTACTTCCTATAAGCGCAAGCACTCATAGTTAATTACCCCTCTTACTACGTAAGAGAGAACTCTCGATTAAGGATGAATAAATTTTAGATATATTTTTTTTTTAGTCTCAATAGTGGGAAGATGGACGTAAACCCGATCAAGATCCTATGGTTCCGTCGTCCCGGATATATCGTAGATTTCAGTCTACCAACACTAACAATCATTGACAGTAGTGTCCAGGAAATCTGATTAGCAGCTATGGGTTGCCTCCTCTTAAGGATCCCGAGTAGACTGAAGTGGTTAGATGTGGATTTTAGTTTAATTTAATTTGGGTTGGGGCTTATGACTTCCTTAGAAGTTGCCTGTTAATTTGTTTAATTTGAGACTTACGGCTCCAATTAGGACTTATTATGTAGCAGTTTGAAGGAAATTCAGGGATTGATATGGTCTCGCAAAGCCCTTGATCGTCGATCTGATCCAGTCGAGTGGATAGAACACACGAAGACCTATATCGGGGTCGATTTGCTCCCCTGAAGCCCCTGGCCGTTGATTATCTTTCAGGCTGGGCGGATTAAAAGGGCAAGTGCCCTTTCAAACCTCCTCTCGCAAGGAGTGGGCGTCAGAAGGCTGTCGAATTTTCAAGGAAAATAAAAAATACTTTTAAAAAATGTATAATTTTAATTAAATCACTTAATTAACAGGTCGCGCACAATTAGAAGACTCGAAGACCAATTCCAAGGTCGATTCGCTCCCCCAAAGTCCTCTTCGTTGATTTGATCCGGCTGAGTCGATCGAAAGGGTAAGTGCCCTCCCTAACCTCCCTCGCGGTGCTGGAATGTCGGAAGGCTATCGAAATCAAAACTGACAAAGAACCTCACATAATAATCTTAATTATCTAACAATTTTCTAAATCTTAATTTTCTTACAAGCTCTTAAACTAAAATAATTTAATAACCAATACACCATATTTACATTTTTTTTGGTTGCATGTAAGAGCTTAGTGAAGAAATTGAATCAAAATGTATGATGCACATTTTAAGATCTTTTGAATGTGTGAATGGAAACCCTTGTCTTATTAAAATTAATTTGAAAACTTAGCACTTCCTTGAATCCTAGCTTATGATTTCATTTGGTGGGGATCATAATCTATAAGAAAATCACGAAATTATAGCTCTATTAATATAGCTCAATTTCCAAATGTGTTTGAGGTATCATCTGGTGGGGATTGATTGCAAAATTAAAGTAATAATGTTCTAGTCCTACCTGTATTTGAAGCAATCAACACTAAAAGGAGGTTATTCAATAGTTTTAAAGATCACTTCAGATGATGGTAATTATAAACATGCCTCCTATATCAAGAGAAATTGATCAAGATAACCACATCTTCTTCCCAAGAAACTTCTCAAAAAAACCTAAGCATTAGTATTTTTGTTGCCCGACCTATAATACTCTTGTTTGTTAGTGATGTACAGATTAATGCTGGCAATCATATACTACTGGAAACGGTATCTTTTATAGGGTTTCATAGGTATCTTAAATAAATGCCCTCAAAACATGCTGATCCCTCAGAGGAACAGATAAGACTCTAATTACCAAAGCCAATGATGATAGGAACTATAATACCCCTATTTTGCAGTCTATTAAAGAATGGATACAAGTTTCTTATGGGCTCTACATAATAAAGGAGCCGTTGATAATCCAAACATCTTTTATGACGATTCGATATGTCATTGGGTAGTTTTCCGAAAGATATTATTATGCTGAAAAAGTCAAACTGTCTATGCAAGAGAAAGATGATTTTGAATAGCTTAGAAGTTTACTTGTAAATATATCCTTTGAGGTTAATATTTTTATAGATGCAATATTTACACTCAATTGGAATTTACGGTTACCAAAGATGTTCAAGAACCTATAGTCACAATCTATACGCTGAAAGCATAACCCGCATGTGCTCTGATCGTCGCATATGATTCATAAATCCAACGGTCCGACAACATTGCGAGGGTCAAATATTCAAGTCTCATCCTCCTCTTTGGAAGGACTGGAGTCGACTTAGCTTGAATTATAAGATGCCTCCTAAACTGCTACATAATTCAAATATTTTTCAAATGATAATCATGTAATGTCGATGATGGTCGTGTTGAAAGCTAATCTCAATCGGTGAGGACCACATACTTTTAAAACACCTCCCAAACTCCCACAAAAATACAAATGACTCTAACGTCACCCCGATGATAGCTGTGCTGATAGGAAATCTCAACCGGATGGGTCAAATTTTAAAAATAAGAAGAATATGAATTCTTAAAATAAAATCTATCACCTAAAAACTTAAAACTAAAACTCATTCACTTGTCGCAACCGTTTTTCGTGGTGATAATTTGAAATTAACCTCAACTAACAAAGAGTGAATGTCGTGCCGGGTATATCACTAAGATTCACCCTCAAATAGTATCTTGCCAGTAGGGACGTGGCACGTGTCATCTGATCGAGTGGTTTTGCCGCAAAATGACACCATTATATTACGATCATGATCAAAGCCTGTATGTTCACTAACGACATCAAACCTTGAGCAATTAATCATAGAGTATATTTGATAAGCATAAAGCCCTCCATCAGCTAAGGTGGATTCATATTTATCCCCTTAGACAAACAACACCCCAGGTGTCTAAGGTATTTTTGGACGAAGCAACCCACGGCTGTCGATAAGGTGCCTTCTGTCAAATTGGGTCAACTACCTCCTCTGACTAAGTAAACTAGGGACCATGACAGCTCAGGACAACGGAACCATGGGATCTTGATTGGGCTCGTCTTCACTCCCCCATCACCAATTTTAAGTCTCAAACTCCAAAGTTCATATCTCAAAACTTAAACCCTAAAAATGTTGCTATTATACACTGAATTTGTGACCCATGCGACCTCTTTAATAACTAGCCTTAATCAAAAGTTATCTCTCATTATCGGGAGGGGTATAGGCCGCCTATAGGAAACCAGAACTCAGATCATAAAGTCCTCACAAAATGAGGGAGAAAACTCTAGGTAGTGTCTTATCTAAAACTCAATCTGTCATCTGAAAATTCACTCGGAACCTAAGCTCATTAAAACTCTCTATCGTCACAAACAAGAAAAGAGACGGTGCGGAGAGGTTGGGGAGAGGGA